CGCCCGCACCTCGCTCAGCCAGTGAGCGGGAACCGGTCTGTATGTGGGATCCGAACCCCCGGCGGGAGTGCCACCGCGCTCCCAAGTGGCGCACTGTAGCCGTGCGCCACCGGGCTGGCCTCATTTTCATTTTCTTAAATAGTGTCTTAGTCAGCTGAAGCCACTATAACAAAATACCATAGATAGGTTGGCTTAACCAACAGACATTTATTTCTCACAGATCTGGAGGCTGGGAAATCTAAGATCAAGGTGCCAGCAGATTCAGTTCCTAATGAGGGCCTTCTTCCAGCTTGCAGATAGCTGCCTTCTCACTGTGTCCTCACAAGGCACATGGAGATAGAATGATCAAGCTCTCTGATCTCTTCTTACAATCCTGTCATGAGGACACCAGCCTCATAACCTCATCAAAACCTAATTACCTCCCAAAGTCCCATCTCCAACTATCATAATATTAAGGGTTAGGGCTTCAACATATGAATGGGGGGTTCACAATTCAGTTCCTATCAGACTCTCAAAAAAAAATTTGATGAAGCCCAAATTATGAGTTTTTCTTTTATGATTTATGCTTTTGGTGTCATATCTAAGAAATCTTTACCTAACCCAAGATACAAAGATTTTCTCCTATATTTTCTTCTAGAAGTTTTATACTTTTAGATGTTTTTATTTAGGCCCACAATTAATTTTGAGTTAATTTTTATATATGGTGCAGAGCATGAATCAAGGCTTTTTTTTAAACATATGTATTTCAAATTGTTCCAGCACCATTTGTTAAAAAGACTATCTTTTCTTCATTGCATTACCTTTGCACATTTTTCAAAAATCAATTAACCATAAATATGTTATGTTATTATGATATATCTGGTTTTTCGATTCTGTCCCATTGATCTATATGCTTTTGCCACACTCCTTTGATAACTGTGGCTTGATCCTGTCTTGAAATCGGGTGGTGTAAATCCTCCAAATTTTTCCTTTTCAAAACTGTTTTGATTATTCTAGTCCTTTGCATTTCCTTTGCATAAAAATTTTGAGTCAAACTATACATTTCTACTGAAAAAATAATAAAGCCTTCTGGTATGTTGCCTTGAATTGCATGGAATCTATATAAATCAGTTTAGAGAGAATTGACATCTTAACAATAATGAGTCTTCTGATCCATGATCTTAACATTTCTCTCCTTTTCTTTAAATCTTTAATTTTCTTCAGCAATGTTTTATAGTTTTCAGTACAGGTTTTCAACACACTTTGCTAAATTTATCCCTAAGTATTTTATATCTTCCATGGTATTGTAAATGGTAGTGTTTTTTAATTTTGATTTCTGATTGTTAATTGCTAATGTATAGAAATATAATTGATTTTGTATATTGACCTTGAATCCTACGACCTCGCTAAACTCGCTTATTAGTTCTAGTAGCTTTTTTATGGATTTATTGTCTGTGAAAAAAAAGACAGTTACTTCTTTCTTTACAATTTAACTACCTTTTATTAATTTTTCTTGACTTTATTGACTGCATTAACTGGAATCTCCAGCAATATGATGACTAAAAGTACTGAGAGTGAATATCCCAGCTTATCAACAAGACTAAGGCTAGGGCTAGCCTGACAAATTAGCACAGACTAAGTGGTTTGAACAACAGAAATTGTACTGACCAGGTAGTTCAGCTGGTTAGAGTAGTCTCATAGCCCCAAGGTCACAGGTTTGGATCTCCATGCCAGCTGCAAAAAAAGAAAGAAGAAAGAAAAGAAAGGAAAGAAAGGAAAGAAAGGAAAGAAAGGAAAGAAAGGAAAGAAAGGAAAGAAAGAAAGAAAGAAAGAAAGAAAGAAAGAAAGAAAGAAAGAAAGAAAGAAAGAAAGAAAGAAAGAAAGAAAGAAGCAAGAAATTCAATTTCTCACAATTCTGGAGTTTACAAATCCAAGACTGTTTTCTTCTGAGGCCTCACTCTTTAGCATGCAGATGGCCATCTTCTCTCTTTGTCTTCATATGTCTTCCCTCTTTGTCTGTGTTCTAGTCTCTCTTCTTATAAGGACACCAGTCATATTAAGGTCCACCTTAATGACCTCTTTTTAACTTAATTACCTCTTTAAAGACCCAATCTCCAAATAGTCACCTTCTGAGATACTGGGATTTAGGACTTCAACATATGAATTTGCAGGGGGACACAATTCAAGTATGACAACCATTAAATATAATGTTAACTGTAGATCTTCTTAGATGCCTTATATAAGGGTGTTAAAATTCCCTTTTATTTCTAGTTTTCTCAGAGATTTGTGTTTTTTTAAATCGTAAATTAGTATTGAATTTTGTTAATTTTTTTCCTGCATCTATTAAGATAATTTTATGCCTTTCCTTTTTCCCTCTGTTAATGTGATGAAATTACATTGATTGGTTTTTCAAATATTAAGCCAACCTTGCATTTTTGAGATTAACCCCATTGTTACAATCCTTTTTACATGTTGCCAATTTTTATTTGGGAAAATATTATAGAGTACCTTTGTGATACACAGGACACTATTGAACGTGAATGTGTTGGTGGTGAACAGAGATGCTGTAAAAAGCTTAATTTTCATTTACCATAATATGAAGAATAAGCATATTACTTAGAAATACGTGGGCAAATATCAGAAATAACAGTTCAAAGAGTTAAAAGTGATTGTCTCTGGAAGCAGGACTAGATGGTAGTGAGGTTTTGTTGCAGGTTTTGTACCATTTCACTTTAATTTTGTTCACATATTATTTTGGTAGAAGTAAAAATTAACTTTTTAGAAAAATTAATTCCTATCAAGAAGCCATTGATTTTTTTGTTTGTTTTAAAAGATGACTGGTAAAGGGATCTTAACCCTTGACTTGGTGTTGTCAGCACCACACTCTCACAAGTGAGCTAACCGGCCATCCCTATTTAGGGATCCGAACTTGTGGCCTTAGTGTTATCAGCACCACACTCTCTCCCTCAAGTGAGCCATAGGCTGGCCCTTGTTCGTTTTTAGTTTTAGTTACAACTTTGATTCACCTGGGTTTGTGAGTGTGCACGTGCATGTGCATGGTGTGCAAACATCTGGAACTGTTTCTCCGCTGTTTGTAACTAACTCTTCCCAGCACAATTTATTGATTAGTCTTTATTTGCTCCCATGATTTATGAATAATCTTTAACATAGTTATTTATACTGGGACGTTTCTACATGATCTGTCCTTGCCCTGGTCCCATACTAACTCTAGCAATATTGAGAATGAGCTCACTTGGTGGATGGGGTTCATTCAAGGTAAAAAGAATAGAACGTACAATGGTACAGCGGTTTATAAAAGCAGGTGGCTGGTAAATGTATGGTTTGGGGGAATCTAGGGGTGGAAAGATGAATGCTCAAAGTGCATCCGTTGCATCAATAAGTGACATACTTAAACGAAACTTTGCACGCTGTCTTCAGGAGGAAACACAACGCTTCACAAGCTGAAACCCCTAAGTGAGGAAGACACCCCGCACAAAGGCCTTTGATTTCGGGCGCCCACGCCAGCTCCGGCAGAGATTGGTGGCGGCCGCGGGGGCGGGGCGCACGTCACTTCCCGCTGCGGCCGGGCGCATCCTCCAGCAAGCGCTATGACCGCCAGCGCGGAGTCGTATAACTTCGTATAATGTATGCTATACGAAGTTATGCCCCTAAGTGAGGAAGACACCCCGCACAAAGGCCTTTGATTTCGGGCGCCCACGCCAGCTCCGGCAGAGATTGGTGGCGGCCGCGGGGGCGGGGCGAACGTCACTTCCCGCTGCGGCCGGGCGCATCCTCCAGCAAGCGCTATGACCGCCAGCGCGGAGCCGCGGGAGCGGCGGCCCGGGATCGGAGTAGGAGTAGTGGTGACCAGCTCCAGGCATCCTCGTTGTGTCCTCCTCGGGAAGAGGAAAGGGTCATTTGGAGCCGGCAGTTTCCAACTTCCTGGGGGCCACTTGGAGTTCGGGTGAGCATGCGACAGGTCAACACGGGGAGAGACGCGCCGCGCGTGCGCTCCTACGTCAGTACGCCTTGCGTGCACACGCACACGCACGTCCACGTCGACGCTGCGTCGTTTCTCGCGCGCTGGCTCGATTCCTCCCCTCGGCCGCTGGGTCCTGCAGGCTCCCGCCGGGAGGGGGCGCTGTGCTGGGTGGGGAAGGACCTCGTAGCTCCCGAGTGGGCAACGCCAGTTCAGTACGCTCGGCTCCGCCCGAGCTTGGCCGCAGCTGAGAGTTGGTTTCCGAGCTGTGTTTTTTCTTAGTGCTTACACGTTATAGAGGGGAAAGTGGGTGCTTGTAAACCTCGAGCAGTCCCGTGTTGTCAGTTAAGGCATCTGCACGGTTTCCGTGTGCAGATATATTCAGTACCCAGTGGCCGCGTCATTTTAGTTGCACCCGAAGCAAATAGGCTGGCGAAAGTCTCAGGGCCTCAGTTTCTTCATCTTTAAAATGGGGACGTTGAACGAAATGCCCTTTAAGACTTCTTTTTGCCTTCGCGCTCAATGATTTGATAATATATCAGACCGACAAAGGGAGTGGGACAGTTGAGTCAGTTTTACACAACTGTAGAGTGAAGGAAGCCTGGGATAGTGCTGCAAAGTGGATTCTGAGGTGAGGATAAGGCTAAAACTCGCAACAGATAAGCAGCATCTGAAGCATCCAGACCCAGCTCTTGTTTTTCCTTTGGTATAAAAAATTTCAAACGTACGTAAAAGCGGAGAAAGTAGTGAATCCACGTGCACCCGTCACGTGGCTTCCTCCATCTTCACTGTCCCCTCTCCCCGCCCAAGACACAGCACACACGCACCTGGTCTTTAAGACTATTTTGGAGGAAATCTCCGACATCCTATTGTACCATCCCTAAATAGTTCAGTATGCATCTCTAGCAGAGTTTTTTTTTTTTTTTTTTTAGAAAACATAACCACAGTACCATTTTCACACCTAACAAAATGATTAGTTCGTATCACCGGATGCTCAGTCCGTGCGCCGTTTTCCCCAGTTGTCTTGAAAATGTCTTTTGACTGTTTTGTACCAATCGGAATCAAAGGGCATTCACATTTGGTTGATAAAATTTTTAGGTGTCTCAATTTAACAGTGACCCTCCCCCATCTCCTTTTTTCGCCATGCCATATATTTGTTGAAGAATATGGGTCATTTATCCTGACAATTTTCTAACAGTATGACTATGTTCTTCTGACCCACCTATTTTTTACAAAGTGGTCGTTAGAAGTAGAGTTGATCCTAGTGNTTTCCCCAGTTGTCTTGAAAATGTCTTTTGACTGTTTTGTACCAATCGGAATCAAAGGGCATTCACATTTGGTTGATAAAATTTTTAAGTGTCTCAATTTAACAGTGACCCTCCCCCATCTCCTTTTTTCGCCATGCCATATATTTGTTGAAGAATATGGGTCATTTATCCTGACAATTTTCTAACAGTATGACTATGTTCTTCTGACCCACCTATTTTTTACAAAGTGGTCGTTAGAAGTAGAGTTGATCCTAGTGCCTTTTAGTCAGACTTTGTCCTTTATAAAATATGGAATCCTTATGATCTTTTAGCATGTGGAATTTTTTTTGATGGTCTTCAGAATTTTTATAAAAAGTGTTGGTAAGTTTATCATTTTAAGATAACTAAGATAAACTATCAGCTAATAAATAGTAAAATATTTAGATTAAGAACCAAATTGCCCAGACAGCCACACATATTGTACTTTGCTGATTGTTGGTGGGCACTAGCTAAACTTAGGTCACGAACTAAGCACTAGTTAGAATGTATAATTACCAAAGCAATGGCTAGAGATAGCTGTTTTAATAACACAAGAAAGCGTTAGAGTCTTGACTCAGGTACTGAATGATCATAGCCAACATTGAACTCTAAGGAGCTTTTTACTGAGTGCTAGATAGTTTGCTGAACTCTTAACATGTATTCTTTCGCTGGATCTTGTATAAACAGTATAGTACTGAGTGGGCTAAATTTGATGGGGAAAAAAATAGGAAATGGCTTTTTTTCCTCCTTCCATTATCTTCAAACATAATTTGTTTTTCCCATCTCTGCTCCTCAGTGATATTTCCTACAAATTCTGTTGTTTTCCTGCCACTTGGTTATAAAAATAAATCCTATTTTGGTTATTAAGATTCACTTGCAAGCATTTAAAAGTTCCATTTAAACCTTCAGTCTCACTTCCAGTTTCTAATCTCTTTGCCGTAGCTGGGAAAGGAGGTGTGGGCCACTGTCTTGCTCTTTCTCCACCTCTCTTCTCCCTCTGCTGTTTCTAAGTTTCCTTCCATGTCCAGTGTATTGGGGAAGGAGGAATGAGAGGGCCCGCCCCTTTGAGTGACAAGTGCTGCTGTAATCCATGCACTGGCATCTCGGTGCCACGTTGGTGTCTCAGTCCCGCACAAGTGTGCTCTCCTTCTCAGTGGTTTGGAAGACCCACAAAGATTTCTGTACTGTGCAGTTCCCTGACATAGGTGACTTTTTGTGACAATCCCCCCCCCGACACACACACCCAGTTCTTGCCTGTAGCACACACCGCCCTACATTTTCTTTCTGCTGGGGTCCTGATTGTATTACCCAGCAGTCTCTGGTGGCATCTCCTTGGCTCAGAGGAAACACAGTGGGAATGATCCTTTCATGGCTGCCCTTTTCCCTTACTCAGACATCCTGGGCTGCTCTAGTCAATCTCCCGCTTTCCAAATTCCCAAGGTGGTAATAAGCATCAGCCTCTATATTCACGGGCATCCTAAAACTCTGAGGACACATTTCAGATTTGCCCTCCAACCCCCCTGCCCTGATGCACTGGGGTGGGCCTGTGGGTTTCTGCAGCCAGTATGCCTTTAGTAGGGGAATGACACATGAGTATCTCCTTCTTGGGAATCACACCCAATCTCTACGACTGATTCTCTTGGAGGAGCACCCCTCATTTGTGTTGGGGGGCACAGTTGGCCTCTTATAGGGAAGAAGGGAAACATTCCTACTAGGCTGGGAACTCACAACTGTCTTCTTTCTCAAAGATCTTTCTTATGTAGCTTGAGTAGGGTGAGGATCAAAGGACTAGTCTGGCCTTCTTTAGCAAACCCTTGAGCTCAGGTGACAACTGTTTGCTCTTTTGCTGTATTCATTGGAATTTAGAGGGTCTTATTGCTTATTGTCTTCAATTTTGAGGCTTAAACTGAAATTCTGAGAGTACCAGAAAAGACATAGTGTACTTTTTAACACATTTACAACAACCCCATGAGAAAGTAATATTCTCCTTTTACTTGTCCAAAGTAAAAGGCGATGGACTTAAAGCTCATACCTAGGCCTAGTTAACTCCAAAGCCTGTGCTTTTAAGTAATATGCTAAACTGCCTCCTGGTCGTATACCGCTTCCAGGCAGTGAATTACTGCAGACTTAAGCAAGTGTTAATTTTTTTGTTCAATATGAGGTCCTTTTTGTCTTCAGAAAACTACATATAAGATGTACAGATAGTCAAAAGCAGGGTTGTTTTATTGTTTTAAAGCATGAACCAATTATAGTTCTTTTTGCTTTACACTAGAAATTTCTAGCCAAGAATTTCATGGCAAAAAAAAAAAAAAGTTATGCAAATGGAATTGAATACAGTGGTATGTTCCTTTTTTCCAGTGAGAGCTGGGAAGAATGTGCTCAAAGGGAAACCTTGGAAGAAGCTGCTCTTCACCTGAAAAATGTTCGCTTTGCCTCGGTTGTGAATTCTTTTATTGAGAAAGAGAATTACCATTATGTTACTATATTAATGAAAGGAGAGGTGGACGTGACTCATGATTCAGAACCAAAGAATGTAGAGCCTGAAAAAAACGAAAGTAAGATAATTATATATAATAATGCATTTTTCTTTGAGGAGAACATGTTGTCTAAAGGAGTATTACATTATGTTGCCATATGAAGAGTTAGGTTCTCTTCATATATGCTATGCTCTAAATGCTCGTGTCCCTGTAAAATTGATATGTTGAAAGCCTGACTCCCAAGGTATTAGGAGGTGGAGACTTTGAGAGGTTATTAAGTCATGCGGGCTCTACCGTCACAAATGAGATTAGTGCCCTTATAAAAGAGGCCCCAAAGAGCTTCCTTGCCTTCACTGTGTGAGGACACAGAGATAAGATGGTCAGTTGTCTGTAAACTAGGAAATGGGCCCCCACCAGACAGCACACCTGGTAGAGTCTTGATCTTGGACTTCTCAGCCTCCAGAGCTGTGAGAAATAAATTTCTATTGTCTATAAGCCACCTAGTCTAAGGTATTCTGTTATAGCAGCCCAAACAAAATAAGATATGTAAATATAGCTGTATATTATAGGTATATAAATATATTTAAATCTTGAGGAACCAGACTGCTTGAGTGTGTGTCCTGGTTCTTCCACTTAGAGCTTTGTGACCTTGGGCAAGTTATTTCACGTCTAGCCCTCTTTTCTCATCTGTGATAATAGTAACTACCTCAGATGGGTTGTTGTAAGGTTTAAATGAGTTAATACATATACAGAACCTAGTGAACACAGTAAGTAGTCAGTAAATGTTAGTTTTATTGTCTGGGTTTAATTTTATTTCAGGCTGTGATTTTGTGGAAAACATTTCATGTGCTTTTCTCAGTTTCCTTACCTGGGCAGGAGAGGAATCCCTTCCTTTTACAGAGAACAATTATCCAGACAAAACAGTTGTCTGTTACCCTTTATTTTGAATTGAGTGCTCTGAAAGCTTTAATAATAACTGATAGTTATTATTTACTCTATGCTAAGTAATGTTCTAAGGGCTTTACACGTATCATCTCTACTCAAATTCTCATAAAACTTTGTGAGAAAAAGCACTAAAGAGAAAAATATCAAAGATTTTGAATATATTCCTTGGCATATGAAACTTTATCCATGTGGTCTTGTTGCAGTGAGTTACTGTGAACTTGCAGAGAGAGGCAGGAAACACCAAGGCTTAAAACAGGAAGACAGAGTTTATTGAAATGCCAGCATTTGTCTCAGAGGACTCAAGTTGCAAAGGCTGAGCCTCCCAACACAGTGGGGCAGTTGTTTTTATTTTATAGCATTTCTGGGTTTTTGTAACAGAGCAAGAGCAGTGATCTTATGATCTTATGTGGTTATGATTTTGTTTCAGGGTGGAAAAGTACAGTGGGTGAGAAGCATGCTGAAAAATTCTGTTTTAGCAGTCTGTGGTAACCACAGGGTGAGACAAACTGAAGGTGCCGCTGTAGCTGGGTGGGGCTCTTGGTTACAGCATAGCGTGGCACAGCATGAATGCCTAATGGCCACAGCCAGGTGTGACAACGCCAAGTAAGTGTGAGTGTCTCAGTCTCATGTAGGCGACCTCCCCACTAAACGTTTAATTTCTTCTCTAATATGAAAGAATCTTTTAATTCAACAAATACTTATTGGATACTATGAGCCAGACATTGTTCTAGGCACTGAAGAAACAATGGTGTGTAGAACAAAGTCCCTGCCCTCCTGGACTTTACATTTTAGTGGGGGAAGCCCAAAATTGGCAGGTATTTTATGACAGTAGTGATAAGGACTAAGAAGAAAAACAGCGGTGTTAGGCTAGCAGTGCATGGGGACTGCATCACATAGGGTGCTCAGGAAGGGCTTCTGAGAAAGGGACATATAGGCAGAGGTCTGTGATATTTGTAGAATGGATAAATCATCTTTTCACAGATAGATTTGATTAAATCAACAGAAGGGCATCTTGGTTACCTGAAGTCCTGTTGAGTCATAAGATTTTTTATAAAGTAGGTAACCCCTCAAAATCATTTAAAATGTCCTAGCAAAGTAACATCTAAAAAGTTTTCAGGGCCCTTCAGTTGGCCTAGGGTACAACTAAAATTATTCATGCCCAAAGAAGCAGAAGGCAGAGAGGTCAGTAAGAAATGTTCCAGGTTAGTTAGTGGAGTTCTCTAGAAGTCAGTCCTACTTCTCACATCCCTAATTATCCCGATAAAATGAGGAGTAGGAGAGGGACAGCCCAGGACATTGGTAATGGAAACAAAAATCAGTAGCCCTCTGTAGGGAAAATATAGGAAAATGGTCAGGACCCCTCAGATGTTCAGAATCTTGCCAAGCATTTGATTTAAATATGCACATGCACCCTGGTGTTCCTTGGTTATTGTCTAATGTAATTGCGCATGTGCACCCAGGTGTCCTGGGTTATTGTACTTAAGTATAAAAGATAAATGGCTCTGGTCCACAGGACTCCCCCAGGGGCGGGGGTTTTGCATGGAGAGGCCGCTACTGCTGCTGGCAGTTGTTGCTGCAAGCTGTTGCTGCCAGGGCCCCCGGGATGCCCTGCGAAGCCACTGCCACTGCTGCTACTGCTGAGGACTGAGCTTGTGTCATCTGCCACTGGCTCCCATGATCTCTCCCAATTACCTAGCATGGACCTGCGTGTGAGGGGGTCTATGACCCAGCCTGGCATGTGAGGGGTCTGATGACCCAGTCTGTACAATGGGTTTATAACTAAAATAATGAAACGTTTTGGCTTTAGTTATGAACTGCCTAACCATACAATTAGCGTAGCTATTGCTGTAACCCAACAACTGGCATAGTCATGTAACTCTCACCCTCTGTATTGTTATACTATGTTAGTGCAATTGTCAGGCTCCTGTCGGCATAGCCAATTGTATGGCTGGGTTAGGGCCCACAGACCCTTCAAACCTATTGTACAGGCTGGGTCACAAGACCCCTCACCAGACCATTATATACAGGTCCACACTAGGTAATTAGGAAAGATCCCAGGAGCAGTTGGCAGACGACAGGAGCTCAATCCTCAGCTTCCTCAGTAGCAACAGCCTCCAGCAGCAGTAGCAGTCTTCCCGTGACCCCCCTGGGACATCCCGGGGGCAGGGAGCACTGCGGATCAGAGCTACTTGTCCTTTATCCTGAAGTCTGATAACCCAGGACACCTGGGCGCACATGCACAATTAGACAATAACCAAGGAACACCTGGGCGCACATGTATAAGTTACATCAAATGTTCGGCAAGATTCTGAACATCTGGGGGGCCCTGACTATTTTCCTGTATTTTCCCTACACCCTCACATTCTGAAGCCGAGGGGAGGAGCAGTTGATTACTTGGATTTTAACATTAAATTGACATTTAATTAAGCATATTTCCTTTTTACTATTTTTGTAGAACTTGGTTAACTTTTCTCTTTATGAAACAAAATATATTACATATAACTGAATTCTTTGTTAAATTACCTTTGAGGTGTAATTTATTCAGGTAATAAGCACAGGTTATTATTATTTTAAAATAGAGCCTGAATACCGGCCAGCTGCCAAAAAAATTTTTAAAAATAAAATAAAATAGAGCCCAAAACTTAAAAAGATTGAACATTTCCTGATTTTTGTCTTTTCTATGGGCAAAACAAGCCGAGACTAGAAGAGACAGATATGATGAAATAGTTACATTTTTTATAGTCAGTATCTTTCACAAGAAGCAGATGTAGAAAGCATTCATTTGTAGACAAGGTGCTGAGGAGAAAACACCAAGGTCACTGGCTGTCCCATAGCTTTGTCTCACTGGTCTCATTCACCCAGCCTGTCCCCCTGGCACCTTCTAGTTTTTCTTCCTCCTCTTGCCCTGTCTGGCCTCTGAGGGCGTGTGAGTTGGTGAACCCTGATACAAATGGTTAAGTTCTCATTTTGCTCTCCCGAGCTGCAGGCTTGTACTTCCAGTTGCTTTCTAGATATCTTCCCTTGATGTTCAGAAGGCATCCCAAATTCAACTCAACAACTCAACTTCAAATCATACTCAGTATTTTTCCTTTATGAAACTTTGAATCTATATGGAACAGTTATTTTGTCTCATAGATCTTGGTCCCATGCCTGACACTGGCTCATAATCAGTGTTCAAAATATTCTAAAGGAAAGAGGGAGCAAGTGAATGAACACACAAGCAAAAAAAAAAATCATGTACATATATAAATGGTGTCTAGAGTGGCCTAGTATTTAACAACTGCTAAAAGATTATTCTTTATTAAGTGCTATATCAAGAGGTTTTGTTACTATGTAATTTTATGTATTGTTTTATTCCTCCTAGGATATAGTAGTTATGAGTAGTTTTTACATGCTTTGAGATTTTTAGAATGTGTATATGTAACTTTTTTGCTTGTTCCTTTCATTTTGTTGACGCCCTGACACGAAGCTTGCTAGTAATCTCAAATCAAGCAGTATGATTTTACGAGGCGCAAGATTACTGCATCAAATCAGATTTAATCAGAAACATATGTTCCTCTATATTCTTTAGTAAGAATATAGCCAGAATCATTTTCACTTTGTTCTCAGTTGGAACCCTCACTGATGACCTGCTGCAGCCTGGCCAAGGTGCCATGGCTTGCATGTCTTGTTTTATTTATAGTACAGACACAGTCTCTGTCCCAGGTTCCTCAGGGGCTGGAGCTGGATAGCCGGCTTCAGCTTACTATTTTCTGCATCCTTTCTTCAACCATCTACTTATAATTAGGAGGATCATTTTCTAGGAGATCATTTTCCAGACGCTTCATTTTCTAGGAGACGGGGGATAAACTCTTCTTAACAGGCAGCTCTCTTGAAGCTCGGTTAATCCAGCTTCTTGTAGCACACTGTTAGGCACTCGATCACTTTCTGTGTCTGTCTGTCCATCTGACTGTGTCTCTCTCGTTAGACTGTGGTCACAGTTGCTGATCTTCCCTTCCTGTACATCCTTTTCCAATTTCATGTATTCTCTGTCTCCTACCTACCCAGAGTGAAAATATGAGACTGTACTTTATAAGCAGAGAAATACTTAGTGGAAGAAACAGTACTTACACTAGGTTAAAAACATGTAATTGTAAAGAAACTTACTTAGAACATGGGGTGTACATCTTAATATAATAATGTTTATATATCCACCTATCATGAGCATATGTTCTTTTATGTTATTTACTCTTAAATCATCAAAGAAAATACCAATACCTAGAATCCTTTTCTAGTATTTTATGCATTTTACAATTGATAGACACTGTTAAATCTTTCATTTTTCAATGGATTTTTTTTTAATCGGCTTTCTCTGTGTTTGTCTATCTAAAATATACCAAGGTACAATATAATTTTTCTCTGCACAGCTTCAATTTCTTTTTTAAGAGATGGAGTATAACTTAGAAATTTTGTAATCTACCTTACTTTATATGTGAGAAAACTGGTTTATTTTAATGTAGTATAACCTATAGTATATAAAGTTCCTTGCATTTTTTCAACAACTGTTTTTTTTTTATGACCGGTAAGGGGATCTCAACCCTTGACTTGGTGTTGTCAGCACCACGCTCAGCCAGTGAGCGAACTGGCCATCCCTATATGGGATCCGAGGCCTTGGTGTTATCAGCACCGCACTCTCCCGAGTGAGCCACGGGCCGGCCCCTTTCAACAACTGTTTAAATAGACATTGAATAATACTAAATCTGGTTTTTAGCATAGTGTGGCCTTTGTAAACTTGGCTTCTTGTTCAAATAATACAATTCTCTTCTTAAAACCTTCATTCTAAATGCAAATTATGTTTGTATAGCCAAACTAATGCAAAGCATTATTATTGGAGTTTATTAATAACAAATCACTTTTTTTTTTCCTTTTTGTCTTTTTTTCGTGTCCGGCAACGGATCGCAACCCTCAGTGTCACACCTGTACCGGACCGGGACCGGCAACGGGACCGCAACCCTCGGTGTTGCTCCCACACCTCGCTCAGCCAGTGAGCGGGAACCAGTCTGTATGTGGGATCCGAACCCTCGGTGGGAGCGCCACCACGCTCCCAAGCAGCGCACTGTAGCAATGCGCCACCGGGCTGGCCCAATAACAAATCACTTTTAAATTCAATTAATTTTCTCTAAATGTAGATTAGCTTACCAAAATAAATACCCTTTGTTTCCTGTCAGCTAAATTAATTGATTTGGCATCTTTCTTTTTTAGGTTGGGAGTGGGTTCCCTGGGAAGAATTTCCTCCAGTAGACCAACTTTTTTGGGCACTACGTTGTTTAAAGGAACAAGGGTATGATCCATTTGAAGAAGATTTGAACCATCTGGTGGGATACAAAGGAAATCATCTCCAGGTGACCAAGAAGATTCCTTGATTTTTTAGAAAAAGACAAGAATAAAGTCTGCCTAGGAAGTAAAAAATATCTCCATTTCAGATCAACTCCATTTTATCTAAAAAGTTTCATATGATTGCCAATTATTTGTAGTCTCTTAATATACCCACCACCATTTCAGCCAGTACTTGAGCATATTTTTCTTGAATATGTGTCATTGAATTGTATTTTAGACACAGAGTGCATGATAAATAGTGATTTTGTGGTTAATCTGCTTTCTGTATTTATCTATGATATTTACTGTGCAGTTTGTCATTACCAGTTTGCATGGAGTAGGGTGCGACAGAATTTACCTTAGTGTTTCAATTCAAATAGAGATCCTAATTCAGATATTGTAATTCAAATTCAAATACAGTATGACTTGCAGAATTTATCATGTTTATTGACTTTCCTCTTCTCTTTTTTTATTAAAAAAAATGTTTTGGTAATATGACAGTCTTTGCAGCTAGAGAGAACAGGACAGGCTATGTGACTTTGGATTTCTCACTTACTGTGTCTCAGATCCAGTGTCCTTATATGTAAAATGAGTAGATTAGACTAGAGCAGTGGTTCTCCAAGTGTGGTCTAGAGGGTCCTCAAGATCCTTTCTAAGATACTTAAGGTCAAAAGTGTTTTTATGGGCCGGCCTGGTGGCGCACTGGAGAGTGCGCCACTTGGGAGTGCGGCGGTGCTCCCGCTGAGGGTTCAGATCCCATGTGGAGACCGGTTCCCGCTCACTGGTTGAGCGCGGTGCGGGCGCAACACTGAGGGTTGCGATCCTGTTACTGGTCAGTAAAAAAGACAAAAAGGAAAAAAAAAAGTGTTTTTATAAGACTAAGACATTATTTATTTTTTTTATTCTCATTCTTTCATGAGTGCACAGAGGAATTTTACAGCGGCTACCTGATATGTTATGTAACAGACTGAATACGAAAGCAGATATGAGAATCCAACTTTCTTCTGTTAAGTCACACATTGAAGGCTGGCCAGTTTGCTCAGTGGTTGGAGCACAGTGTTATAACACCAGGGTCAAGGGTTTGGATCCTTGTACTGGCCAGATGCCAAAGGAAAATAAAAAGTTAGACATTAAAGAGATTTGCGAAAATGTAAAACCATGCTATTCTTCTTACTAACAAATGTGAGTTTACTTTAGAAAATAGTTATTTTTCGTAAAAATTATTTATTAACATTTATTCGGTTTTATTTGTAAATAAATTAATAAAAAATTCTTAAGATTTCTTAGTTTTAATTTCTAATATGATAAATATTGCTAGATAAAACCCTACAAAATCAAAATCTCTTGTTGTCTTTAGTAATTTTTAGGAGTATAAAGAGGTTCAAAACCAAAAAGTTTGAGAACTGCTGGATTAGACCATAAACTCACATCCTTTTCTTTATGAGACCACTTCTGTGAATTCCTAGACTTCTCTTAGAGTTGATTACATTTGGATTTTACTCTTTCAAAAGATTCCAGTACTATTGTAATCCTTGCTACAAATGAATCTTTTTCTAATGAGTGAATATCATTTTTAAGTTATTTTCTTAATTGTTTGCTTTTTCAAAATTATATGTACACATTGTATAATTTACATCCATAAATCTCATTTTCTATTAATTGTCTCTTTACCTTTTTTTTTTGCAGCTGGCTGGGGCAGGGATCCCAAACCCATGACCTTGGTGTTATAAGGCTGCATTCTAAGCAGCTGGGCTAACCAGCCAGCCCTGTATCTTTACATATTTTTGATATTAGAATGTTTGAGGAGCTCACGTATAAGTGTATTGTATATTCCTTGGACTTTGGATACTGATGAATTTCACACAATTGTCTCTCTTCCTATTTGATTATTCCACATCAGTTGTTGCATCAACCGTTGCTTGCTCATTGCTTTTACTTCCTGAGTTGACTTCATCCCTGTCCCTGACTTCTCCTAAGTAGTAGACATGTGAAGCTAGATAAGAAGAAAGCAGTCTAGCCTTATGGACAAAACCCTTTGTATTAATCTGTTTTCTGTTGCTGATAACAGAATACCTGAAACTGGGTAGTTTATAATAAATGGAATTTATTTCTTACAGTTTTGGAGCTGGGAAGTCGTGTGACAATGCAAGGTGTCACATGGTGAGGGCTGAGTGACAGTATGCCAATATGCTCACTTGCCGTCCTTTTAAAGTCCATAGTGCCACTCCCATGATAACCATTCACCCATTAATCCATGAACGGATTAATCCACTCCTACACATACCCATCATGGTCCAATCACTTCTTAAAGACCCCACCCTTCAAATTCCATACTGGGAATTAAGCTCCAACAAGAGCTTGGGGGGACATTCAGACCATAGCACCCTTCCATAGGTTTACCTCAATTATACTTGATTTATTGGGAATGCACTGAGATATCTCTTTATGCCAGTACTTATCCAAACAGTTGTTCTATAGTTTTAAAAACTTGTCACAAACCTGTTTTTACCATATCTGTCACTTTAAATTTTTAGTAGACAAACTCATTAGGAGTTTGTGAGGTTTTTGTTTTCTAACTCACCAACTTGACACGAAGGTTTATTCCAATGGAAAGAAAAAACTAATCTGGGCTCTTATATATAAGAAAAAGTAGGAGCTGGCAGGCTGGCTTAGCTGGTTAGAGCACAGCCTTATAACAACAAGGTCACAGGTTTGGATCCTCATACTGGCCAGTTGCAAACAAGCAAAAAGTAAAAAGATAAGAGTTCCATTATTGGAGAAGATTGCATTTACCTCAGCACCTAATATGCTCAGGTGGCATCCAGTAGTCACTCAGTAAACATTTCTNGGCTTGCATGTCTTGTTTTATTTATAGTACAGACACAGTCTCTGTCCCAGGTTCCTCAGGGACTGGAGCTGGATAGCCGGCTTCAGCTTACTATTTACTGCATCCTTTCTTCAACCATCTAATTATAATTAGGAGGATCATTTTCTAGGAGATCATTTTCCAGACGCTTCATTTTCTAGGAGATGGGGGATAAACTCTTCTTAACAGGCAGCTCTCTTGAAGCTCGGTTAATCCAGCTTCTTGTAGCACACTGTTGGGCACTCGATCACTTTCTGTGTCTGTCTGTCCATCTGACTGTGTCTCTCTCGTTAGAGTGTGGTCACAGTTGCTGATCTTCCCTTCCTGTATGTCCTGTTCCAATTTCATGTATTCCCTGTCTCCTACCTACCCAGAGTGAAAATATGATACCTGTATTTTATAAGCAGAGAAATACTTAGTGGAAGAAACAGTACTTACACTAGGTTAAAAACATGTAATTGTAAAGAAACTTACTTAGAATATGGGGTGTACATCTTAATATAATAATGTTTATATATCCACCTATCATGAGCATATGTTCTTTTATGTTATTTACTCTTAAATCATCAAAGAAAATACCGATACCTAGAGTCCTTTTCTAGGATTTTATGCATTTTACAATTGATAGACACTGTTAAATCTTTCATGTTTCAATGGATTTTTTTTTAAATCAGCTTTCTCTGTGTTTGTCTATCTAAAATATACCAAGGTACAATATAATTTTTCTCTGCACACCTTCAATTTCTTTTTTAAGAGATGGAGGATAACTTAGAAATTTTGTAATCTACCTTACTTTATAGGTGAGAAAATTGGTTTATTTTAATGTAGTATAACCTATAGTATATAAAGTTCCTTGCATTTTTTCAACAACTGTTTAAATAGACATTGAATAATACTAAACCTGGTTTTTAGCATAGTGTGGCCTTTGTAAACTTGGCTTCTTGTCCAAATAATACAATTCTCTTCTTAAAACCTTCATTCTAAATGCAAATTATGTTTGTATAGCCAAACTAATGCAAAGCATCATTATTGGAGTTTTTAAATAACAAATCACTTTTAAATTAAATTAATTTTCTCTAAATGTAGATTAGCTTACCAAAATAAATACCCTTTGTTTCCTGTCAGCTAAATTAATTGATTTGGTATCTTTCTTTTTTAGGTTGGGAGTGGGTTCCTTGGGAAGAATTTCCTCCACTAGACCAACTTTTTTGGGCACTACGTTGTTTAAAGGAACAAGGGTATGATCCATTTAAAGAAGATTTGAACCATCTGGTGGGATACAAAGGAAATCATCTCCAGATGATCAAGAAGATTCTTTGATTTTTTTAGACAAAGACAAGAATAAAGTCTGGTTAGGGGGTAAAAAATATCTCCATTTCAGATCAACTCCATTTTATCTAAAAAGTTTCATATGATTGCCCATTATTTGTAGTCTCTTAATATATCCACCACCATTTCAGCCAGTACTTGAGCATATTTTTCTTGAATATGTGTCATTGAATTGTATTTTATACAAAGAGTGTATGATAAATAGTGATTTTGTGGTTAATCTGCTTTCCATATTTATCTATGATATTTACAGTGCAGTTTGTCATTACCAGTTTGCATGGAGTAGGGTGCAATAGAATTTACCTTAGTGTTTCAATTCAAATAGAGATCCTAATTCAGATATTGTAATTCAAATTCAAATACAGTATGACTTGCAGAATTTATCGTGTTTATTGACTTTCCTCTTCTCTTTTTTTATTAAAAAAAAAATGTTTTGGTAATATGACAGTCTTTGCAGCTAGAGAGAACAGGACAGGCGATGTGACTTTGGATTTCTCACTTACTGTGTCTCAGATACAGTGTCCTTATATGTAAAATGAGGAGATTAGACTAGAGCAGTGGTTCTCCAAGTGTGGTCTAGAGGGTCCTCAAGATCCTTTCTAGGATACTTAAGGTCAAAAGTATTTTTATAAGACTAAGACATTATTTATTTTTTTTATTCTCATTCTTTCATAAGTGCACAGAGGAATTTTACAGCGGCTACCTGATATGTTATGTAACAGACTGAATACGAAAGCAGATACGAGAATCCAGCTTTCTTCTGTTAAGTCACACGTTGAAGGCTGGCCGGTTATCTCAGTGGCTGGAGCACAGTGTTATAACACCAGAGTCAAGGGTTTGGATCCTTGTACCGATCAGATGCCAAAGGAAAATAAAAAGTTAGACATTAAAGAGATTTGCAAAAATGTAAAACCATGATACTCTTCTTACTAACAAATGTGAGTTTATTTTAGAAAATAGTTATTTTTTGTAAAAATTATTTATTAACATGTATTGGGTTTTATTTGTAAATAAATTAATAAAAAATTCTTAAGATTTCTTAATTTTAATTTCTAATATGATAAATATTGCTAGATAAAACCCTACAAAATCAAAATCTCTTGTTGTCTTTAGTAATTTTTAGGAGTGTAAAGAGGTTCAAAACCAAAAAGTTTGAGAACTGCTGGATTAGACCATAAACTCACATCCTTTTCTTTATGAGACCACTTCTGTGAATTCCTAGATTTCTCTTAGAGTTGATTACATTTGGA